TCCAGTCTGTCGGTGGCACATGTTCTGCCTACTAAATCTTCCTTAGTAGAACGTGGAGCATGTTTGCAGTTACTTATATGTCTGACTTAGGTGCTTCAGCTGCTTTCCCACTCTTGATTTGTCTGATAGCCATCCTGGTTTCCTCAATCGTCGGTGGAGTGACATCTATAGGAAGGTCTGTAGGTGCTGCTTCGATGTCCAATAGATTTAATGGAGATGGAGTTCCTCGAGGTATTCTGTCCATCTGTTTCTCTGTTCTTGAAACTCGTTGATTGTCTTCCCTTCTTTGTCGTTGACCGGCCTCTCTGGCTTACCATATTTTCCTGCCAGTTTCCTCGTTGTGTCATATAGTTGTTCCACACTTCCTTCTCTTGCATCTCTTTACGTTGTCATGGCTAGCTCTTCCACGTATTTCCGCTTGTCTGTTCTAATGCTCATCTTCACTTGCTTGTTTGCTTCTGTGCATTCAGCTTTTGCCATCATTTTCACTGCTCTTGTTCGGCTGTTTTTAATTGCTATATTTTCGTTCTTCCTTTCTTGAATCTTGTCCAGGGGTTCCATAGAGATTCATTCCTCATGATGATGCTTTTGTGGCTCAGCACCTCCTGGGGCGTTGTAGTTAATGCTTCTTTGATCGCTTTTCAGTTCTCTTCCATATTAGTTTCTTCTTTCAGTAGATCCTGTAAGGCTTGGAACCTGTTGTTCGGAGTTATCTCGAATTGGTTGAGTTTGTTAGTATCTTGTTGGAATGCTGTACTGAAACTTTTTACTGCTGCTTCCCCAGCTGTTCAGTGTTTCTTTAGCTTCAGTTTCATCTTGGCTACAATCAGGTAGTGATCTGAAGCTATGTCAGCTTGAAGAGGCTAATTTCCTCTATATCTGATTCCAATAAATAGTATCCTGTTAACTGAGTATTTAATACAGGCTAAACCTCGTATTAGAATTATGGATTTACTCGAGACTATTCAAAAGCCTGAGCACCTGTTATAGAGATAGTTTATTGTTAAAGATTGGTAAAATCCGCGAGCGTAAGGGATGCAAGCACACAGGGAAACCAAGTGAGTATGTATTTGTGTTAAAAAAATCCATATATATTTATAAATGCTAATCGATTGTGGATAAATTATTGATTGTCCATGTGTTACAACCAATGGGAAAATAGATTCAAGAATGATGTGCAGACACGCGCTCAATCAGACTCACAAAGAAATTTACATAGTGGATAGAGTGTCTAAATTACAATGATCAAACAAATAATATAATATTTTGGTTGAGATCATGAATCAATTAATGTTAGACCACCGTTGGAAACCTGGAAGCACTGGACGGCCGGTTCGTCCTAGTATGGGACTCCTCAGCAGTGCGCATCCACGATCCCGCGAGCAGGCGCGAAGCCAGTAGGTCCTGGGTTCGAATCCCGCTCGCGGGATCGTGGATGCGCACTGCTGAGGAGTCCCATACTAGGACGAAACGGCCGTCCAGTGCTTCCAGGTTTCCAACGGTGGTCTAACATCAATTGATTCATGATCTCAACCAAAATCTTAACAATCTCCACAACCCTCATACTGATAAATAATATAATAGTTGAATGGACATACTGCAAGCTGCTTTCCTGGTTCTCACGTCTTACATTGTCCTTCTGAATTTTTTATTGACATGAATATTATATATTTCGTTCTCCGTGGTGTGATTTGACGAGACCCATTTAGCTTTATGTATGCGTTTGTGGGGGAATATTGTGCTATTTATAACCAATTTGCTGAATGCACATGGATTTGCAAAACTCTAGCCATTCTTGCTCCTTTCTCCTAGTCCATGTCGTCCCATGATATTTTCATAATCGTATCAGTCCTTTCCTGCGCAACTGGGTTCCAATGGATTTCGCTGATTCCAAGTACAGTGAAGTTGTATCTCCTCATTCTTGTTGCTATTTGACTTGTCCTCTTGGTCTCCCACATTGTCCGGATGTTCCATGTACCTATAAAAATTGTTGCTCTGGTTGTTGAAAGGGCATCGACCTCGTGACTTCTGAAGAATCTTGGCTTTCCTCATGAGGCTTCATAATTCCTCCAACTCCCAGGGCAGAGTTTAAATTGTTTATTCTGGTTAGCGTTTTTTTAGCAAGGTTGTTTTCTACGGGATAGGGTTGCCAACTTCATGCCCAACCCACTTCCTTTACTTGCGCTTGGGTCCGGCAGTAGCCTTAGAAAAGCTACAGGCGGATTTATACGATATATATTATTAGATGGTAATTTGTAAAACCTAAATATTTGTTTTACTAAATAAGAAAAATTAATGAATATATTGACAGATCGATCAAAACACATGAATTCACAAATGTTCCAATAAATATTTTTAAAATAGAGTTCATTCTGAAATGAGTTGTTTGAAATAAACACAAAATACACGTTTTATGTATTAGCTTAGGAATTAACTACCCTTACTTGGTTATACCTTCTACTATTTCTATTATGAAAAAAGTAATGAGTGTCTTCATGTTGTTAGGACGTTAGTTTTAACATGCAAATTTCAATCATTTGTTCAGCTTTTTTTTCTAATTCTACATATAACAGAACAAGAGGTTGATTAGCTTAGAAGGATTTAAAAGTTGTTGGATCTTCTTATCGTGAAGCTTCCAGTGTATATCTAAGCAACATAATCTTCAATCAGTGAAATATTAGAATTTTCCTAAAAGTGACTAGTAGTTTCTTCAGCCTTGAATTTCATTGATAGCAACAAGCAAAATTTCAAGTGGATCGAACCTATTAGTCACTGTTGGAGACATGAATTAAATGGTTCATTTCAATTTCGGATATCATTTAAAGCATACCTTAGATCCATCAGGATAACAGCTTTCTTTTATTTCAATATTAACAAGTTTTATTTTCAAAATAACTGAATTTGCAATAAGCAGTATCACTGAATACTGAAATATAACGATATTATTAACATGATACAATTGTCTATTTATAAACTACGTCACTTATCTAATCTCTTTTATTCCCACTTTGTGTATTCTTATTTTTCAACTCATACAGCACTTCACCTATGGTAGAAACCGTCCTATCTAAACGATCTCGAGTCACTAACTGGTTGAAAATTGAATGCTACCACCAAACACGAATACTGAAACAGTTTTTCTGAAAACAAACATGCACCATTCAAACTGGCAAACTTCAACTTTCGCACACTAATGCAAATCGAAAAACAGATAGGGTTAACTATGTCTTCAGAAAGTCTTAATATCGACGTATTGGTACTAGCCGGAGACTTCAATGCTCAGGTCTGGCATCCAGTCACAGAAAGAATCATTTAGGTGGCCGATGGGGACTTGTTGGTCGCATTTCAGATAACGGGGACCGTCTACTGCAACTGTACACAGACCATAACCTGTTACTGGTGATCAGTGACTTCCGGCACAGTCATCGCCGACTTGCCACACGGCGCCCTCCCTCTACATCTGAAGCCTGCACTCGGATTGGTCACATCGCGATCAGCTAACGCTGCCCCATTTAGAGTAATTATCTGGACCCTGAAAATGTCCTTGTTTGCGCTAATAATAAGTTACTCTTCAGTGGCATATAACCACCTCTCTCCATTGTTCTATTCAATCAGTGGGGTTAGACAGGGTTGCCCAATCTCACCATTCCTCTTCAACTTCACCATCACCGACATTATAGAAACAGCTCCGATGGATGTAAGTAATGGCGGTGTGGACCTGCAGCCTGGAGAAAGACTTCTCGACCTTGAGTATGCGGATGATATTGTCTTACTCTGCGTTAATGCCCAAGCCATGCAACCCGCACTTAATCAGTTGGCAATCAATGTCCGTAGGTACAGTATGTTCTTTTCACCTTCCAAGTGCAAATTACTTCTACAAGACTGGCACGATTCAAATCCTATACCCACCATGGGTGGTGAGCAGATTGAAGTAGACGAGAAGTTCGTGTATCTAGGTGGTAGCTGCATAAGTGGTGGTGGTGGCGTGAGTGATGAGATCAATGCATGTATAGTGAAAACCGAAGAGGCTTATGCGAATCTGGGCCATCTTTGGCGCCTTTGTGATGTCAGTCTGGCTGTTAAAGATCGGATCTACAACGCGTCGGTGAGAGCAGTTTTGCTCTATGCTTGTGAAACCTGGCCTCTCCGAGTTGAGGATGTTAGACGACTCTCTGTGTTTGATCATCGTTGTCTCCGAATGATTGCTGACATCCAGTGGCAACACCATTTTAGTAATGCAGAGGTTTGGCATCGTGTGTTCGGGCACAGAGACGATAATGCAATCGATGTCACCATCTTCAAACACCGACTTCGGTCGCTTGGACATGTGCTACGAATGTCCTCCCAGAGAATTCCACATAGTGCATTATTTGCTGACGCTGGGACTGGTTGGAAAAAGCGGAGAGGTGGTTATTGTATGACGTAGTATAAAAAGAAAGCTGCAAAGGACTGGCTTGTGTTGGTCCTTCTAGATTCCCTGGTTGGGGTCCTAGAGATGGTGCAACACAGTGGTTAGAGATGTTATCAAATATGGCTCAGAATAGAAGCCAGTGGCGATCCTGCTGTAACTTTATGTTACTTTTTTCATAAAAAATAAACGTAACTTCTTTAACTGGAAGAATTCTTTTAGGTTTTACCTTTTCTATTTGAACTGCTTCTCCCATTATTATTATTTCACTATGATACACTAATTTGTTCTCGCTATTGTTCCTCTTCTTCTCATATGCACCTTACATTTTTTATCTCTTCACATTCTCATTGTTATTGTGTGGCACATATGTATCTGGTGCCCCTTTGTACCAATATTTATGTGTTCAAATAAATAAATAATCTTTTTCCAAATTGAAATTAACAACCGTATTTTTTAAGCTGAACTGTTTGCTTTTACAGTATATTCGAGAACCTACGATTCTAGGTTTAAAAAAATGTTTACTTAGATAAGTGTGACTTCGAGGATATAAACAACCTGTCCAAATCTCGTAAGTTAGGACATTAAAATACATAACGATATGAACATTTATTGACGAAAAAGATAAATTCGCTTAACTTTAACATCATAAACAAATTAGATGAGTCACTGAGTTATATGACAATTTTGTTTTTAGAAAAAAGAAACAGTTCATTCGTAAACTTAATTGAACTCAGTACCAATATCAGGGCGTTATGGCAAACACGTTATTCATTAATTACAGGCACACTTTCTTCCAAAAACCAGTTATATAAAACTGTACCCAGTGTAAAATGTAAACCTAGCCCATTTAAGAATCATGATATATATGAAGAATATATAAGTTTATACTTTAACAGTTGTATTTAGGCAGTAGAATATATTGAACTCAATGCAAAAAATAAGATAATGATAAAAAGAACAACGATGACAATAAGCTAGTGTTAAAATGACAAAACATAAATTATATATATGTAGACGTGGAGTGCCTCCCACAATTACGATACGGCGGGAGAAATAAACTAATACTTGTACACAATAGTTTGTCTATATGACTAAATGAAATAATCAGAAAAGAAAACAATACGTGTAACTACCAAATAGATCTAATCAGTTAATTATTTCTATTTTTGCAATAGTCAAGTAAAAACTTTAATGGGAGGTGGATGACAGGAAGACAGCGTACAGTTTAATAATACAACAGGCAATATCTGAGTGGTATTCTATGTCAGCATATCACAATACAGCTTCGTTTGTATCAATATATGAGATGTTGAGTTTGTTATAGTATATATAATACATACGATACACCACCATGGTGTGAGCGTACATAAATCTATACACACAAAATGTTGATGATTTTTTCTTTAGAATATCAGATCCAATACTTGGTTTTTAAACGTCTCCACAGGACAGTAAGGACATTTCATTCGACTGTTAAATAAAGAAAAATTTTTATAGTAACTATAAAACTAATAACAGGAAACATTTAGTATTACAAGTAAGAATAACTACCTAGAAAAATAATCATCAATAAAATTTCTAGATAACATATAGTACCATATCGATATTGAAAGCACTAGTAAAAGGTTAAGATGTCAAATCTTAAGATGATTCAGTGTATAAAATAGACTATCATTTTTTAATTCTAGTGATAATAAAAAATTAAAATGTAGTTACATTTTCTGAAGGAGTATTAAAAGTCCCGAAGTAGAATCTGTCTGAGTAACAGCTACAACAAGAAAAACTTACATATAATAACTATAGTTAATTTGCTTAATAAAAAAGATGGTTAGTAGACTAAGGGATGTTAAAGACAACTGAAAATGTTAGTTCGTATATAAAGGAAGTGTTCATTGATGCCAACTTAAAGGTTACGTTGTTTGGTGCTTGGGACATCGTATGATTTCTTGACAAATTTTAAAACGTGCCCGTATTTATCAACTCAGAAAAACAGTTTCTCGATTCAGCTAATATGCCGAAATAGCAAAAATATCAAGGCATTTGATACATTGAATCAATTAGAACTTGGACAAATGATATGTATGTATATGCCAACTCGGTTGATCAATAAACTCCTCACTCTCAGTTTTTCCACTCGAGGTGACGGGGCTCGTGCATAACAGTCAGTCAGTCAGTAACAACGTAGAACTTAGTACGTACGTACATCAGTTCGAGTTGCCATACCACATTAGCACAGAGATGCAGTGGTCGATTCAAATCCCGTAGTGGTAGAGGTAGCAAGAGTATAAGCAGTAATCGGGAAGATTAGGGTTTGGAGATGTTATTTAACGAGTATAATCCAGTGAAATAAATTTGGAAAGAGGAAAAAAAAGGGGCATGAAGAATTCAGATAACTAGAATTTGGGAGAACATAGAGAGTGGATGCACCTGCGCCATTGCAAACGATTTTGAGCCATGTCATTCAGGGTCTCTAACCATCGGTTGCTATCATCTCGCGGTCCCCAACCAGGTAGTCTACACTTACCAACATGACTCAGTCCACTTGTCAGTGACTTCATGGATTTGTGCCATGTTTTGGTCTGGCCGCCCCTAGCTTTCTTCCAACCTACTCCTATACCACTGAATATAGCACGTCGAGGTAGTCGGTGGTTGGGCATACGTAACACGTGTCCCAGCCATCTCAACTGATGAAGTTTCACTACTTCATCAATTGATTTGCCATCCTTACCTAGTACCCGTTTCCTAACAGCTGCGTTACTTACCTCGTGCATAACAACGGAAAGACTACATGACAGTATTTTAGAAGAATAAAAGGATCTTTAATTAATCTCTCAAACGTTACAGGTGAAGAGGCTGAACTCAAACAACACATTTAAAGCATGGACTTGACAGTCAGAAGAGTGATTTAAAAAAGTGTTTACTGTGAGAAGGCTGTATTTAGTGTATTTCACAGCCTGATAAATAGTGAGGGTCAGTAAGATAGACCGAGCTTTACATTCCTTAAACTTTAGACAAACACGTAAAGTCTACAAATCTAATAATGTAATTATGAAGTAACGATAATACAACTACTGGAAACAGTCAGTTCCCAGCACACTTGCGGTAGAAAGCAATAGCACACTCGTCACTAGGTATACAATGAAATTGTATCCGATAACATATGAATCCAATGATCATTACGATTTTCGTAACTCCACTTAGAGATTGATGGTATATCGGCCTACATTACTGTAACTCAGAAGTTCTTCATTACTGGAATTAAAAAAAACCCAAGGCGTGGCACCAGTCCACGAACTCGTCGACTGTTTGTTTTAAACATTTTGGCAGATGCAGGCTACCTTGTTGGGGTCCATAAGACAAACCCAATCAGCGGTTGGCGACATTGGGTGGTATAGCTCAGAATTGGTCACAGTGACACATATGTAGTTACTCTTTATCTTCCTCTAGATCTTTAGTTCCCGTAATCCTTGACACATAGTTTTTCATTCCTTATTTTCGAACCACAATTTAGTGCTTAATTTTCTCATTGTTACAGCAAGATTCCAACTCATTTGCTGCTTGTTTTATAGATTTTACCTCACCATGTCAATGTGGTATGGTAACTTCAGATAACCATATAGTTGTTTTTAGCTCTATGCTGATTATGACTTGTCGACATTTTATTCTACTTTGAACTTGAGTGGACAGCACTCCATATGGAATGCTTTACGCAGAAATATGGAAAAAAGTTCGTCGATTATGGGAACTAACTTATTCGAATGACTACATTAACGACACAGCAGTAAACATTATACAAAAACTTACGCTACTAGTCGCCCTATTTGCTTAAATAGCGCTGATATCAAGTATAAATAGTATTAATAAATCAGTGATTATTGAATAAAAAATATGCTTGGATGGAAGTTCTATAAGCGTATAATGGAAATAATTGAATCCAAACATTGTAACTCGAATTTTTCATGGATAGTCTAAAACCAGAGGTTACTCAATTATTTGCTGTACAAAGGAATTTTGATTAGATACCACTGATATTTGTGGTTATTAGCGAAACACGCCTAGAAGACCAATGTTTTTCCTAGACTCAAAGTTTTACTATTCAGTGTTTTCATTAAGGTTGCCGATGAAGGACAAAAGTTGAACCTTAAAGTGAGGATGTGATTTCGAGTTATGGTTAATTCTAAAAGACTAAATTTAATAGAGAAAAAAGCAGGGTTTTGGATTTCTAACGACCAATCCAAACAATTTTTAATCTTTTAATGTTACCAAAATCCCATAATAATAAGAGAAATTAACTTTCTTAGATTATATTTTAAAAAATCTTGGTTAGATTTCTAAAACTATACGGTACAGATTAAAAAAACGGAATGAAAATGTCTAACCTTCTATCTCCACTAGCCAAAGAGTTGAATGCATCTCGTGATATCGCATGACCACACGTTAAGCGTACAGGGCCACCTCCAATAGCGCCATCATTCGACTCAGAGATCACTTCTTTGATAACAGGACAGTGGAAGATATTATGGCGGTGTGCGCTGGGATCCAGTTTAACAGCAATCTGTGACAAGCAAACATGGCATGTTAACTGATCTAAACAGAGCATGGGTATTTTAGAATATTCCAGATAATGCACAGTATATATTTTCAGGTACTAGAGTGCAAATATTTTTTTTACATAAATAGTGAGGTTTAGGAATCCGACAAAAACAGAAAGTATAAGTTAACATAACACAAAGGTGTAGTGTATCGTATAATTAGGGATTGATGAAAAACAAACATTTTGCAGATTTTATTAAATCACGCTTCAGTGGATAGACAGATCAACATCTAGTATTTAGTTTCAACTGTAACTAACTGATAAAACCAGAAAACAAAATTACAAACGTGTTAATACCAAAAGAATAATTCTCATGACTTCATTTATTTATTTGAACAACATAGAAGTTTAGCGCAACAAAGTAATCGAAATAAATGCGACAACAATAAATGTGAAATTTTTATTGACCTATAACAGGAAAAAAACTCAGATTTCAGTGTCGATTACAAAAAAATTATGTAACTTTTCAATTATTGACGAACTAACGCATGAGATGATGAAAAACTAAAGAACAATCATTTACTACATATCATAATGACTATAACAATCTGAATACCCTTCATTTGAAGGAGCCTAGTGTAGAAGCATATTATTATTACTAATGGTTTTATCCAATATTAAATGTCCAGTATAATTTGAAATTCTCAGCACGAAGTATTTTGACAAGTTTACTTTATTAAAATAGGAAAGAAGGAAAAATCGATAACTATACACATGAATTCAGTAAAGAAACTATGTGATATCAAGTGAGGTGTTTTTAATAAGAATATGTACAACTATTAATTAGAAACATGCTTAAGAATACAAGTTATTGACTAGGTCAGCACTTACAATCTGTTTGTCGTATAGTATATTTGTTAGATAAGGTACTGTAGTTTTTATACCGTTGCTGGAAAGCATAGATTTCAATGTACTGGCATTTCGTACTATCAGAAGATATACAAGGAAAAAGATGTGAATGAAGTGGATTGTTAATATCTGATAAAATAACATTTGCCAGGAGTCCGCAAGATTTTAAATCTCTAACCAGTCATATTCATAATGACCTCAAAAGATTCACCATAACCTGCTAAACGCATTCAGCCGTCTCCTCAATACAACAAAATCTTTTCTCAAAAGCTCGGGAGAGGATAAAATGGGTCAGTAAAGAACAATAGTTAATATACATGAATTTACAAATAATAAAAGTAAATATTTAGTAATGCCAAATGCATGTAACCTCTTTATATAATAAGTCAGACAGAAAGCTCTTTTCCATATCAATAAAACATGAGAAGACCAAGAAATTTACTCACCTACGCCAGTTACCCCTAGTGGAGCAAATGTCGTAGACTATGATTCTCCAAGAGAAGTCAGAAAGAAAAATTACACCAAGACAAATAACCTTGAACACCCTTCTTATTACAGAATCTTCAGTAATACAAACTTCATGGGATTCCAGCACAGTGCTTAAGTGATGTTGATAGCAGTACAGTTACCTCACAATTGATAGTGATTTTAGTGTACATGAGAATTGATATCAGTAACTAATATAACTAACCTTGAGATCAGACAAAAAGCTTTTCTGTAAAACAGGATGGTATATTCGGTGAAGCGTTTGACAACTTGATTCGATTACGATTACACTGCGTAAACAAGTTTAGCACCAATGTTGGCTACACTAAGAACGTGGCGATTAAATTGAGGTTAGAACAAAAGTCAATTACGGTACTGACTTTACTTATTATGTAGAATTATATGAACAATCTACTTAACCGAAAAAATTACAGTTCGAAAAGTCAACTTTTCGAACCTATTGTGAAACTTTGGTTGATTTTTAAATTTTGATAACATATCGATTTCAGATATTTTACCATAGTGTTAGGTTTAAAATCATTACAGAATTAAGTTACGTAATCACTATGTGCAAACTCACTGGTAACATGTCACCATCCAACGAACTGTATTTACTGAGGCAAGCGATTGCACGTTGTAACGAATGGAGCCGAGTAAGTACACGACATCCGGAGGAAAATGCAGTGAGTAGAGGGTCAGTGTCTGATAAATTTAAATGATAACAACATGAAGCCTTAAACAAATCTGCTGCTTCTGTCAAAGCATTGCTACCATCTGTTTTGTGTTTAGTTGTTACAGGTGACACTGAGAGAGAATATTCACCATCTATCATAAAAACATCTTCAGAAGTTTTGTTTACTTGGGAGCTTTCAGAAGACATTTTTGTGGGGCTGGTTGGCAAGGCCAGGTCAGCATACGGAGTATCCTCAAGACTACGTCCAATAAAAACAAGACTCCCCATAAGATGTTCAAAATCTACAAATAGGTAATTCACAAATTGTTTTACGAATTCACTATATATGAAAATTATATGTTTTGGCCTTACAATCATTAACAGAATGAGTTAGTGAAAAGCAGAGTACTTTAAAAACTGTTTGAAATAAGAGCTGAGGAAAATATAAACAAGGTTTGACACAACAATCAAAATACTTCAATTATGTTTGTATAAATATAGCGAATATAGAACAAATCCCATACTTCTATCCAGTTATCTACGGTTAGCTACACCATTCATAGACTTCTTCAAATATACACGGGGATTGTTGTTACAGCTGATAATGGTGATAATTATGGATCAATTTCTCATAACGTCCGTAGACAATAAACGTTAACAACTAACCAGATAAAACGAGAGCAAAATGTCACCTATGATCTCCGCACTTTGTTAAACTCATCAATCTAAGCTCATTTTTATTGTTGAATATTAAAAATCACTAGGTTTGTTCCTTGAAAACACATTTGGAGGTGGTGATGCTTCAAAAAATCATCAAACTAAAGTTTGTGAGTTTACGATACAAAATGAAGAATAAGTAGAGAGTTCTACGCAATTATGAATAAGCCACGTTGCTCAACCTACAGTACTTGTGATACCTACAAAATAATTAAAGTAACCAATTGTGTCACAGAATTAAAATAAAAATTCAGAGAGGAAAATTTTCGACGAAATCATTAAGTTGTACGTTTGTATTTATAGTTATTTGGTAATTCCGACCCATATGTTATTTTCATCCTCGTAGTCCTATCTAACCCCCTTGGTTATTACGCAACCCCTTTTGATATGAAGTCTCGAATTACTTTATGATGTAATCTCTATTTTTTATGGACCAATATATTTACTAAACAATTATAAATACGAATTAACAGCTTAAGTAATTGATTTCGTCAAAAATTTTCCTCGTTGAATTCACTTTATTTTTATTTAATGACATCTACAAGATGTTTGCCAACTGACTAAGGTTAGCATATGGTACTAATGAGCCCATACAATACGATAGCAATCAGTGTTTCGTTGTCAGATAACGGCATTAATATCTCAACCTTAATTTGTCTCGATTTTATGATTTTCTTCAAGGTACATACAGACACGAAGATCATTAGTTTATATACTTGACATAACTGAACATGATATGATGGGCATTTTCTCAAATGTGGTCATCATAACGTGTCTTAGAGCAGACAGTGGATTATTATCCTTTCAGACTGTCTACTCAATTTAACAACTTGGTTTTATTTACAAATCCGAATTGACATTTCTAATGAGACACTTTATGGATGGAATTCTAGCCGTGAATCATATGTTGCATTGTCCTAACTACTTCGGTTATGAGACCAAACATATCCCCCGTAACTGGAGAGTGTAGATAGTATTTAAAGAACAAAAGTAACTAAATTAGTATGTGCAGATTGTTAAAGATGTTTAACTGTTTTTTTTAAGTGGGGATTTAGAAATCAGACGGATAATTAATGATTTAATCATTTCAAAGATAATAACCCGAATAAATTTCATTACGTAACTGATAAGTCAATAATGGCTGAAAATCAGCGTAAATTTAACAAATCATGAAGATCCTCGTAGTTCGTCTACGAGACGTTTGATAATTAGTGGCACGCTGTTGCAATACTTCAGGATAATCCCATTTATATTTTTACCGGTGTTTTATGTGAATCTAATACAACTGATATTTTCAAATCAAAATAGTGAGTAAACGGTATGAGTATTAAATAAATTGTCAATACTACTGGGCAATAAAACTGACTTTCTACTCTAATGATCAACTTGTTATTAGAAAGAAACATGATCAAAACAATAAGAAAATCTGATGAAGTATAGGGAGATACATAATGTGATCGACAACAATTCTTTTTTTATCTAAATAAATACTTCAATGAAATCAAAAACTTATATGACAATGACAAACTTTCTAAATACCTGAAGAGTAATCAGATGCAAAAGGAACCAGCTGACGAGCACTTTGAATCACAGCAGCTGGATCCACAGGTTCTTTTTGTATTGTAGACAAAAAATCAAGTTTGGCTAGACAATATTCTAACTGCTTTGCTTTACATCCAAGTTCCACTCGATTATTTGATAACCATCTGTAAAATAAGATGATCAACTCGTTAATAAGTTATGCTGCAAAATTTTTATACGATGCTTATATAAAATGTAAGTATGTATATCATGAATAGAGAGTAAAATAGGTTTACGTTTTCGAAATGTGTGTGCCTCGTCAGCATTTACGAAAAATTGATATACAAAGTATTGTTAAATGAAGCAACACTTTGTTGTGCGAACCTACTTATACATTCAACATGTTAGTTAAATGATTTCTGGAACAGTCGTGTAGATTGTCCTGTAATTGCATGTCAGGAGTAAAATGTGTCAAACGCCTGCAAAATGCATAAGTTTGGCATTAATTGGCGAAATCTCAACTTGAAAGAAGGGGGAAAAGCTAACTAACCTTGACCATAAGAATAGCATCCAAACATTTACTAACCAAAATAAATAGACCGAAAGGTTCGTGGTTCATGGACTGATGCCACGCTTTATTTCGGTCACCTCTAGATTCTTCTTAACCTACATCTGCACCAGCTAACATCTCCCGTCGAGGTACTTAATCAACCGATTATGCATCTTTACTAAGTAACATGTGCTTAACCTCAACATTTATCACTTGGTGGTCCCAGCATATACGGTCGATGCTTAGAAGGCTTCCATGATTAAATACTAGTAACCTACATATATGCTTTAAGCTCTGACTCAGTCAACAGTTTCAAAGTAAGCAGCCTTCAAAGAACTAGTTCACGTCTAATTGTCACAATCTGGTTAGTATTTCAGTCAATTTAAGTACAGCTCTAAATCACCATTTAAAAAGACCTCTGGATTCAAATGACCAAATCTTGCTACCGTTCCCCGCTTTATCTTTGATATGTCTTTTCCATTTCACCAAGAATTAAGGGAATTCTCATGATTTCCAATTCAGGTTGTTTGATAATAATACGTAATCGGAAGATTGCTACAACACAGCTGAATCATCCTTCAAACCGTTCTACCCATCGTTCCAATCTTCAGGATTGAGAATGAATAACTGTTCCGTGTGCTTCTGAGATATTCCCACTGACACCCCACTCCTACATACTTGTCTTCTCTAAGAGTCGTAACAGTTGTCTAGTGTTACCCACATATTTTGCTCCTGTTGATCACCATCGCTCACAATCATTGTTCAAACTTTCTATTAGTTTGTATTTCAATTGTCATCTTCATCGTTCTGCCAGTTTGTCAAGATGAGTTTTGTAACAGCTAACAATTCAGTAGATGGCATCGAAGTCTACTGGTGCTTCTTAACCTTTTCATTTAAGTCAGTGACCAATATCACTGATGCATTTGCAGAAGTTTGGATATCATACCAAACTTCACTTTGTCAGAATGTTCTTCTCCGTAATCGACTGAGTGCTGAATTGATTCTCCCCTAAATCGACTTTTGACCTTCCCCACCTTGAATTAAGACTTAACCGTTCTCCCTGTTGCAGCTCTTCTGTGCCCAGTAAGACGTAGGCAAACGCGTACTTCTATTGGTACAGCATGATCACAGTTCAAGCATGTGCCCTGGTATGGCCGAGAGTGGGGTGGGCCCGCTCTCCCTCTCGAAATGCTCTCACACGGTCACGCGAACACAGTCTCTTTCAGGGACTGTCCACTTTTCAGTGGACAACGAAGTGACCGCCACCAACGGATTGATGTTAGCAAGCTGGTTGCAACTTCTGTTGCAAATAAGTATCGAACCGAGTTAGCCTCTAGGCTAGCTACCACTCCACCGAAAAGTATAGATGAGCATTGGTTGCAATTGCTTGACGCCATGAAAATGGCGGGAACAGTCAGTTGTGGGTTTGCGAAACGTCCCGCTTTTAAGCACTGGGTTTCTTCTGGTTCCTTACAACTCATTGAAGCCCGTCGGTCTACTCCGGGTGACCGTGAGTTTGACCATAAACGAAGGATGTTACGTAGGGAAATTGGGCAAAGCTTGCGTAAGGACCGAGAAGCCTGGTGGTCGGAGCGTGCTAATGAGCTGGAAGCAGCAGCTGCATCTGGTAACTACCGGAAGCTCTTCCAGCTCATCCGAGCCACTGGCAGCAAGAAGTCTGGTGTGAGTGAAACAATCTGCGAGGATGATGGGATGCCAATCACTAACATCCATCGACGTCTTGGACGATGGGCAGAATTTTTCGAAGGGCAGTTCAACTGGCCTGCTGATCCGGCAACATCGGTCAGGCTGTCCTGCCCTCCATGGCCGGTGACGACTGATCCACCAAACGAGGAGGAAGTCCGCAAGGAACTCCAACTCTTGAAGCGTTACAAATCACCTGGCCCAGATGACTTACCTCCGGCTCTTTTTAAAGATGGTGGTGACTTTTTGACTAAGGAATTGACGACGTTGTTTACAAAGGTTTGGGAACTAGAGTGTGTACCAACGTCATGGAATGAGTCGATAGTTGTCCCTATCTTTAAAAAGGGTTCACGTCGTTCCTGTAACAACTATCGGGGGATAAGTCTACTTTCGATTGCGTCCAAGCTATTGGCTTCCGTCATACTTCGTAGGTTGTTCAAAACTCGGGAAAGATTGACTCGCGAGGAGCAGGCTGGGTTTCGTTCTGGTCGAGGATGTATTGATCATATCTTCACCCTCCGCCAAATGTTAGAACACCTCCATACTTATCAAAGGCCAACAATCGTAGTGTTTCTTGACATCAGGGCTGCCTTCGATTCGTTGGACAGGACTGTTCTCTGGGATTGTCTATTGAAGAAGGGTGTGCCTGAGAAGTTTATTAACATCCTAAAAGCCCTATATAAAAACACCTCAGGCAGAGTGAGGGCATACAACCACCTCTCTCCATTGTTCCATTCGAGTAGTGGGGTTAGGCAGGGTTGCCCAATCTCACCATTCCTCTTCAACTTTGCCATCGATGACATTCTGAAAACAGCTCTGATGAATGTAAGTAATGGTGGTGTGGATCTGTTACCTGGAGAAAGACTTCTCGACCTTGAGTATGCGGACGATATTGTCTTACTGTGCGATAATGCCCAAGGCATGCAATCCGCACTTAATCAGTTGGCAATCAGTGTCCGTAGGTATGGTATGTGTTTTGCACCTTCGAAGTGCAAAGTACTTCTACAAGACTGGCAGGATTCCAATCCTGTACTCACCCTGGATGGTGAGCAGATAGAAGTAGTCGAGAAGTTCGTGTATCTGGGTAGTTGCATAAGTGCTGGTGGGGGTGTGAGTGATGAGATCAATGCACGTATAGTGAAAGCCAGAGTGGCTTATGCCAATCTGGGCCATCTTTGGCGCCTTCGTGATGTTAGTCTGGCTGTAAAAGGTCGGATCTACAACGCGTCGGTGAGAGCAGTTTTGCTCTATGCTTGTGAAACCTGGCCTCTCCGAGTTGAGGACGTTAGACGACTCTCTGTGTTCGATCATCGCTGTCTCCGAAGGATTGCTGATATTCAGTGGCAACACCATGTCAGTAATGCAGAGGTTCGGCATCGTGTGTTTGGGCACAGAGATGATAATTCAATTGGTGTCACCATCTTGAAACACCGACTTCGGTGGCTTGGACATGTTCTACGAATGTCGTCCCAGAGAATTCCACGTCGTGCATTATTTGCCGACTCTGGGACTGGTTGGAAAAAGCGGAGAGGTGGTCAGTGCATGACATGGTGTCGTGGTATGAAAGAAAGCTGCAAAGGACTGGCTTGTGTTGGTCCTTCACGACTCCCTGGTTGGGGTCTGAGAGATGGTGCTACACAGTGGCTAGAGACGTTATCAGATATGGCTCAGAATAGAAGCCAGTGGCGATCCTGCTGTAACCTTCTTTTACTTTCTTCATAAAAAGTGGTTGTGTCTCCCTTACTTGAAAGATTTCTTCTGATTGTACTTTTCCGTTCCATTGTTACGACCACACTAAATCTCTTCGTTATCGTTCTCTTTTGTGCTCCTTGGTTTTTTTTTTCCTTTCTTTTTCTATCTCTTCGAAGTTACATTGTTTTGTGTGGCGCATATATATTGGCGCTCTCTTGTACCAATATTTATGTGTTAAAATAAATAAATAATAAATAAATAAATAAATTATTACTTTCTCGCTGGATCTAGCTCTCCTCGTTGTGTAGATGAAACCAGATCACTTAGCTCCTTAAACTTTTCTAATCCTATATCTTCCTGAGTAAAACCGAAATTCTATAACATTTAAAATAAGTTAAAGTGAAAATATTAGTTTGTTAAATAAAGGACAAAAAAGAAAAACGAAGTCATAAATTTGTTTATTTACAAACAGTAATTTGGTAGCGTAAAATTCGTAACAGTGGATCAACTGTGGCAACACCTTGCAACATCATAAGATAAAAATTACCTGGACTTAAAAGGTTCTTAAATAAACAAGCATATAAGGACAATTTAGAGAAAATCCATATCCATACATTACTTTGGTGTATCCTCATTTACGGATAGATCTTTTGCTTTTTGCTAAAGATTCTAATCGAGAGGCGTGATACAATGAATACAATCAGGGGGAAATCCATATGGAAATACTGACTACATTGAGCCATGCGACTGATTCTAAGGTATTTCATCTGAAGTCATAGACTAGTGAATTTTAACAATCCGATGACAAAATAAATCAATATTAATTGCATAAAATATATAAGACTTATCTGTAAGTGCTACATTTTGATTTATCAATTTCTAAGGGTATTTCGAATACTCCCCTCCAAACAGATATTTCGACTGAAAGTAAGGATCTATGATACACATTACATGTCCCAGTTATCGCAACTAGGAATGTGTATAAACTCCCCATGTCAATTAATTTAACTACGACTGAACTACTTTAGGGTTATTGCTGATCTCAAGCCTGAGTAGAAAGGAAGAATTGGGTTAGGGCTGAAAATAGCACCTCATAAAAAACCTTGTTATAATAACGCTAACCAGCGAAAGCCAATTTAACCTACCAAACTCTAGTCTACGAGTCGAAAGGTCTTCATATACAAAAATCATGATGTATCATGTTAAAACAGGGATTCTTCGGAATCCAAAAGGTTGTAACCTCTTCTCGTAAACAAGACAATGATAAACATAGGGAATGGAATTCTCAAACGACATGGAAGACTGGGAGGTCCTTTAAATAGCCAGAAAAATGGGAAGGGACAACATAGCTCTACTTGGGATAAATAAAACGCGTTGGACACAAGCTGAGCATAACACAAGAACTTCAGGAAAGCTGTTGTTGTATTCTGGTCGTGAAGGAGAAAACAGTCCACATACAAGAAGTTATATTGATGATAATCAAAGAAGCAACAAAAGCGCTTATAGGATGAAATATGCACGTCTCAAGGGTCATTAAAGCACCCTCCGAAACAAAGAAGGAAAGGGTTAGAATGAATGTCACCTAGGGCTATGGGTATATTAATAATGATAACGAAGAAGATGAGGACCAGTTTTATAAGTCTACGTTTAGGTTGCCTACGATCCTTAGTGTTCTGGGCCTGGTGGGGTGAGTTTACAAAGATCTATCAACTCAATATTTATCATATCTTCACATTCAACCAAACGTTAAAACGCTGACAGATTTATTGGGGATCAACTATTATCGTTTCTTGATATGAGGGCCGCCTTCGATTTGTTGGAAAGGATTGTTCTCTAAGAGTGTCTGTCGAAGAAGGGTGTTAATCAACATCTTGAAAGCTGTGTAAACAAACATCTTAGGTAGAGTGAGGGCATACAACTATTACTTTCCTTTTGCCATTTTGGTTGTGAAGTTAGCCACGATTTCCCGACCTTATAATTCCTTCTCAACTTTGCCATAGATGACACTTTGGAAACAGCCCAGGTGGAAATACGTAGTGGTGGTGTGGATCTGTAGTCTGGAGAAAATCTTTCAGGTCTCGAATATGCGTACGGTATTTTCTTACTATGCGATGATAGTGAGGTCATGCGATTTGCACTTAATCAGTTGATAATTAATATCCATTGGTACGGGATGCACTTTGCATCCCCTAAATACAAAGTACTTTTAAACAACGACAGGAGTCTGTCTTGGTGGTGACAAGTTGTGTTTGACTATCATTGTCTCAAAAGACTGCTGATATCCACTGAAAACTGTTAATAAAACCGAGGTTTTACAACGTATGTTCGGAAGCAATGACGGAAACTTAATCAGTAACACCATCTTCAAGCACAAGCTCTGGTAGCTTGGGGGTGTTATGGGGATCATCCTAGTGACTCCTTAACCGTACATGATTTGCCGACGCTGGGACAGAGTGGAAGAAAGCTATCAGCTTATCACATGGCGTCATGCTACGAACTAAATCCGTCAGTTCATCAAAACTCCCTCGTCGGAGTCGCAGTTTTAAACGTTACCAAGCAGATCAGAGAAGTCGATGATGACCCTGACGTAGTTTTCTTACATCTTTCATAGAAAAGGAACACCTTATATGAAAGAATTTTTTCGGTCGCATTTTAAATGAAATGACTTTCCCATTCATTTATTTTTATTCAATCGCCTGCTTTGACTGCACTCTTTTCTTCATCTCCTTAAAATTTCATTTTCTTACCTGTGTGGTGCTTTTTTTTGTTTTGGTGCCCAGTTGTGCAAGTGTTTTAAATAAATAATTACATAAATGACTAATATATCGGTAGGTTATGTCGCTAAAACTTACATGCATTAGGTCAACGGCCAGAGATTCGTGGCCTTCACGAAGTAAGTGTTCGATGATAACTAACCGTAAGAGATCATCAGGAGATTTAGATGACAGAGAATCTTTGTATAGCGATGATGCTTTTAATACAGGTTTTGTTATAGATTTGGTGGTTTTAGATTCTTTCTTCTCGTGATTTGTAAAATAGGTAGTAAGATGAGAAAGTTCGTCAACAAAACTCTAGAAAAATGTAATATCTGAAAAGACGTTTACCTTGTCTACAAGTTTTCCGAATTTCGAAATGGGAAGGTGAATATCACGGTGGGCTTTTATGTAATCTGACAATTTCGACTTTACAGTTGATACAATTAAACTGGTGTGTTGCTTGATATCCGTATCACTATCAGCTACATATAATATGGAAAGATAGATAAATTACTTATATAGTTTAAATGTATCCTTATAGAATGAAACACACGTATAGTCCCAAAGTTATGACATAATCCGGAAATACATTACTGCATACGATCTCAATTGCTACCTTGATGTGGTGGTTGAGCTTTCCTATTGTGATGACTCGACCGAGTTATAATGGCTGAAACATATGTTTTGTTTAGGTCCTGTTATACCAGGTAGGTAGGTCGAAAGACCATGAAACTAAAATCAGCAACTAAAAGTCTGAGGGCGAAGTCGTGATGCTGACTGCAGAGGGATATGGTAACAGCAAGATGTTTCCCTCGAACAACCAGCATCCGCAGCGATTCTGCCTTTTCACAACGAGAGTTAAGAAATATTGACCATAGAATGCTACACCTCATTTTACCCCATGGACTTGTCACCGGTAGTAAAACCTTTTGAAGTGAGGAGCTAACACATTAAACACCGTAAAAAGACCACGCGTGACCGGCCTCAAGCAATTATTCACTGGGCTTTGTGGTCACGCTCCCATGTTGCTAAGACCATCACTAATTCAGCTTCTTTGCGGAAGTTCACAAGGAACCCTTCTACGGTGTGGGTAACTGGGAAGTGGCGACCGCCCTCATACCTCTACCAGCCTGTGAGATCATCTTGTTGACGATCAAATCCCTTGTTTACCTACTAATTGTTCTCCCATCCCCACGACTTACCCTCCTCATATATTTCTTGTCGCTATGAGCCACCGGTGCCAATGATTTGATTTCACGAAGTATTATAGCTGGTTTCCTGAAACCACGCTCTAAACTACGCATTGAAGTTTTTAAAGTTCGAACCTTGTGTCAGATAGGACAAAAGTCTTTTCTACTATGACTCTAAAATCTCACACCATTGATGTATACTGCATCTTCGAAAAGCACATACATAGTTCATGCAGTCACTCAAATGACCTCAACCTGTAAGTATAAAGAACTGGAGCGGTTTACCCTTATTATATTAGATCTCACTGTTACTTCCTGTAACCTTGAAGGTATCGACAAGGGATCAATTTTGAAAGCACAGTAAACTCTGTTAGACAAGATTCCAATAGACAGTTACTTATGTTGCTCGACTAAACAGAACAGTAAGAACTGGAAGAGATCGGGACATATGTCGTTGCCCTTTAGTTATTTTGCCTCCCTCTTCCTAATGATTGCAACTTGGATGAAATTAAAAATGAATTTCGTAAGAAGCCTTCCAACATCTTTCAAAAAGCTGGTCGTCCTAGTGTAATAATAGTAGTGGGAGGCTTGGGTAGGTAGACTTAACCAAAGTGAAAGGCACTTGAAGGATCTTACGTGTTGCGGCTCAGCGAACAGACAGTGGTGGGCCTATTACATTTATATTCAGATAACTATTTCTGGCAAACACCAACTTTAAGCATAGAAAGCGACATTGTCTGACGTGGCGGACTCGACAATGTCGCTACGTTTACTATTTCTAGTCGTTTAGATCGGTGAGGTATGCTCGTGGACTGACTTGCTGACGGACACCTCTCACGATCTGCAGAGGAGGATATGACTGTCAGTGTAATAATTATTCAACGAACTTTAATTTTATACTGAATAAAATTCATTGGAAATTGAGGATTGTAAACCAAAAACAGTATATTGCCTGCCATACTTATCATTTTATCTATTTGAACACATAAATATTGACACAAAGAGGCACCGAGTACATATGCGCCACATAAGTTACTTGATTTGTGTAAAGGCTATGATACCACCCGGTTGCCCATGCCAAAGCAGATGGTTTTTATAGGCCACACCCGGAGCCTTTGACCTTAAGGTCTAATCCACAGAGCAGTGAAGCGACGCAAGAGATGCAGTTCTATGGTAGCCGATGTCCAACGGTCGGTTCACATACCATTTGTTCCTTTAGGATACCGAAGCCTATATATGCCATTAGTTTAGAATCAGGGTTTTCCAACTCCCCTATGTGAACCCTCCGTGTCCACCAACTTAGTCAAAGCTCCGGACATTCGCTCTCCGTCCTTTCAATTTCGTAAACAGGAGTAATGCTGAGGGAAGACAGTGTGTAGGACTTCCTTGGAAGAGGTTGTACACGTGTGGCCATGTGAGAGTAGACTCCACCTTCGACCGAAACACGGCATTTGGAGGCTGGGAGGTTGCATGACGAGTTCATATACAGATGACAAACCGGTGGAGGAAATTCTCCATTATTTTCACAATGGTAATTCATTTATGTAGAATTTACTTTCAACTAATACTCTTTATTTCACCAATTTTCTTAATTTTGACGAATAAGGTTCTGATCGCGCTGACAAACCGAGTGAAAACACGAACAAAAAAGACAAAAAATGCACTGGATTTTCAGGCAGACAATAATTCAATTTATTTTATCTTGTAAACATTGTAGAATATGACTTGCCATTTTGAAGTACAGATTGAAGAGATTCTAGTTGTGATTCTAGTAAACTAAACGTTCTTTTTCTGCATTCGTCAAAGTTTGCTAATTTTTCTTCTATCTTTGACAGTTCACCATCAATACTTTCCAACTTTGAGGAGCAATTATCAACTTTACTACACATCGAGAAGCGCCAAGTTCATTCCATCCGCCTTCCAACTTTCAAACTTTGTAGTTTACTCCTCCAATTAACATTATGAACTGCAATCAATCAATCATTTTTAATATTTGTTCATTCTGTGAGAATCGCCTCGATATGGTTATTATGTCATAAGGATTATGAGCGGAGTTGGATGTTGGCTCGTGGTTTTTGAAGCGAGCAGTATGGAGTTTAAATCCAGGAATCCACATCAAATTTGAGGTGGAGTTATATCTATCTGACGTGTCACAAATAGGACAGAACGTGTATCCTGTATTCCACTGCTAGCCGCCATTCAACTATAATTATTTATGTATCAGCGTTTCATGAGATAGTATCCGAACTTTCCAACGTGTACAAGCTTTGCTGGATTGAAACGACCCCGATCTCTAGGGGTCTGTTACTGCAAGAAAAATTCTTTTACTATAGAGGGGTGTGATCCTCACGTAACTAGGATTTAAGGATTTGTTTGACGCTACAGGATAAAATAATGTTGAATGTTTGAGATGTTCACCCTCAACTTGATGTAGATATTCATTGGGACTTCTTACTGCATACGCTCTTATGTGCTACTAAGCAATCAATTCCTCAAATGGTCCTCAAAAGCTACAAGCAAACCAAAAATCATCAAGAATCGCACTCTTAGCCTGCTAAGGCACAAAAAGCACTGTTGGGCAGAATACAAACGAACAGACAACAACGGCGCGTATATGCAATACAAACATATAAGGAACATATGCACGATGGCTATAAGAGAAGGCGGACTTCAGTAGCATATAAAGCTTAAGCATAAATTTTTCTACAACCCGAAAAGCTTATTCCGTTGTGCAGCCTCTCTTCGTCAAGCCAAAACTAGAGTTTCCTGACTTCCAGTTCCTAATGGCCCGACCAATAACGACAGCGGCGCTGATAACCTTTAGGCTGAACGATACTCTCGGACATTACAACCGACCCAGATCAACTTTACTGATGACAGCTTCATCTGCAACTGCACAGGACTTTCCGTAGTGAACCTGAGCGCTGACTTGGTGTTCCGGAAACTGCAACACCTAAGAAAAGACACTTCTCCAGGCCCAGATATGGTTCATTTTACTATACTGAGGGAAGCAGCCTCAATCCTGGCAACACCACTTATCGTGATATTCTCGCACTCGCTAAGCCGACAAAAAGTGCCGGAAATTTGGGAGCTGAATCATATCACACCAATTTTTAAAGCAGGTCGACGCAGCGAAACTTTAAGTTACCGACAAGTGGCTCTTCTCTTTATACATTCGAAGATCATGGAGTCCCTGGTATGCGATGATATACATGACTATTTACTGTCCTCAAATTTCTTCTCACCCCAACAGCATGGTTTAAGGAAGGGTTACTCTTGTAAAACCAACCTGCTGACTGCAGTGAACAGATGGACAAGCATCCTTGATCGCAAGGGGAAGGTTGATATCACTTACCTTGATTTCTCTAAAGCTTTAGATAGGCTTAACAATATATGTCTTATCAATAAGCTCAAACGATTGGGTATCAGGCCACTTCTAATTGATTGGCACATTTCATATCTGAAAAATCAACATTTTAAGTTCAGGGTTAACTTCACTTTATCTCGGGCTGTGGAATGTCCTAGTAGGGTCCCCCAGTGCTCAGTACTATGGCCTCCTCTCTTCTTGATTTTTACAAATGATCTTCCACAACAGGTGTCGTCAGACTTATTACCTTTTGCTGATGACGTGAAACTTTGGAGAGAGATACACAACCAAAACGATATACAGGCACTTCAGGAGGATCTAACTGGACTTCAAAGTTGGGAAGACGACAACGGCCTAACCTTTAACACTTCAAAGTGTAATGTAGTCCATCTGCGACATGTCGCAGACTACAGTAACAACTTAGGAAACTCCTCTCTAGTAGTATCCCGAATCGAAAAAGATTTAGGAGTCCTAGTGCCCTACTATTTGAAGTCTTACGCTAGCTGTGACAAAAATGCCTTTCGAGAAAACTTTGCACTGGTAATATTTTAGCGTATTTTTGACCAGTTTAACGAAAGAAGTTTCCATATAATATGCAACAGTTTTATTCGTCCCCATTTACAGTATGGAAACATATTATTTCATCCCTCACTCCAAAAAGGTAAGGACACTGGAGCGTTTCCAACGGCGAGCCACGAAATTAGTCCAATGACTCAAATTCAAACCTTATGAAGAGCACCTCCAATCATCTAACCTTTACCCATTAGAGTACAGGCGTCCTAGAGGTGACCTCCTGCTGGCTTACAGTATCCTTAGCACGTCTGAACATCCCCCTAAACACCTAATTAAGCTTAGTCCCAATACCAACCTAAGGGGTAACACCCGGAACTTGAAGATACAACAAATCAGAACGGACAGTAGACCCAAATTCTACTCCTTAAAAGTTGTCAAATGCTGGAATTTGCTGGCGACTGAAATAGTCCAAGCGACTTCCCAGGAGTCCTTTAGAGGAAACTTGACATATTCCTAAGGACTCAGGATAACATCTTATTATGAGTTACCAATTTCTTTTCTTTCTAATCTGTTATTGTTTCCTGCCTGGAGGTATTAGTGATCCCCTGCTAGTAGACACAGAAGCCTGTTAAGCGAAAGCTTCTTCCATTCTGTCCACAACCATTTGAACCATTTGACAATATTAATGGAGAACGAACGAATATGGTGGATCGCTTCACAAGGCAGGTACTGAGGAAGTTGTTCACAATGAAAACAAACGTTCCGCAATTAAACCATCGATCTCAGCGAACTCACATTCATCACGAGCATCCTAACTTAGTAACTTCAGAAATGCAGGGAATTTCAAGAACCCCACCTTTAAAATGATCACTAGAATGTGCCGAAACTATTTCTTTGCGTACATGATTCGTCAGTTTATAGACTCTGGCTTTTAGAAGGTTTGCCCGCAAATGTACCTCTGCTTATTCATATATTAACCTAAATACATAAAATGAAATGTGGAAAATGGTGGCAAAATGTAAAATATAAAAATATCAGACATTCAGCGTTTGAAAACGCTACAGTTCCTAACTATTTAAATCGAAGTATTTAAGCCTACAAATATGAAGAGTCAAAGACTGATGAGCTCAATGATTTAAATGTAAGCTATGGTATACTTGCGAAGCGCAATTTGAAGGAACATCAGCAGTTTCAAAGGATTATGTTCATCCCCTCAATTGTGAAATCGTATGGATGGCAAAATTGAACTTTATCCATCAGTAATTATTGTTAATATTTATTAGAACAATTCATCTCTGTCCACCACAAAGTACCGGACAAAGGAGTTGGGAAGCCGAAATATATGTGGCACGTTTTTAGACAATTATCATATTCATATTGTGGTAGAAAATTTGATGCCTAAAAACACTATTCAAAATCCCCCAAACACTAGCCTAAAAACATGAATGGGTTGCATCATACCCATCACGTACTAAAAGGAAGACTATCCGATGGCGTGTACCTGCCCTGGCAGAAATATATTATTATGTCAGATTATTATGGTGCAAGTTTACAAAAGCAAGGACCAGAAGCAGGTAAGAAAATGCCTAAGGGACTGCACTTTAATCCCCGAATTTTCCAGTCTCAATACAGTTTGTGGTATCCGAAGAGTTCCGCAGCGTAATCTTTAAGTAGATATTTGAAACCATCGTCATTCATCTAAGCTATAAACGAATGAGAAAATTCATCGTCAAAGACCCTGAGTTCACAGTTGACTCATCACATTTCTGTCACAGTTGCTATCATGTGTCACATATCAACTGGAGTAATTGTTATCAGTCGACTGCTCTCAGAGACATTCCGGTTTATTATTTTCATTTCGTTTCAAACAACACATAAGGTCGAACTCAGCTATCAGACAGCCTTATTCATGACTAATAAAGATAACCAAAACAAGGATCAGTAATTACTGTTTGTGACAAATGAACATATCCTACCAGCCACTACGGTTCGACTAAATCAGCAATACTCTCTTGATTAGAGGAAGTTTAGTCAAATAGCTGTGTTCTGGCGTTCTCGACTGAATTTTCACAGAAACCCTCTCGATACCTGGCATACTGACTCAGTGGAAAGTTAATGCAATTCATATTATATCGAGTATTGGTGGTAGGATATCTGATATACAAACAGAATCGGTTAATTTGTGACTTAATAGTAAAAGCAGTCCGATAAAATGAATATCCGTCAATCTAAGGAAGGATAGATCTATCCTGTACCTTTTGATAGTTGCACTATAAACTGGTAGTAACACTTCTGGACAAGTGCTTATTCTGTACATGGACCGAAAGTTCGCAAAACACTGGTGGAAAAATTGGAAAAATAACATCAATGAGCCTTACAATCAATCGACTACTTTATTTCAATTCGTTGTTTTTTCTAAGTTTTGCGACTAATTCAGATATATTATATGTTAATCCTTATTATTTGGCTCTATTTGCATCTTGTTGATGCAATTTTAGATAGCCTAGATTATGGCGAAGTTTTTCTGTTGATTGGTTGCGATGTTGCGAAACTACACTGAGCGATAGTGATAAGTCGGCCTGATTGTTACCATATTCTACTGTTATTTCCTTAGTTTTTTCAAATATTACTACTCCTGGTTAAGTTTTACTTTAGAATTTAATGCAGGTAGAGGGTGGCCTGACTGCCAATAAAAGGTGAGCTACACAAGACAGTCACTGAATAACATGGTTCATCCCGCCTAAAAATGATTTCTTGGAACATAATATGCACCTAGACACATCATGTCATAAATTTGTGTCATATGTTTCCTCAAACCGTTGCGTGAACTGATAGCTACATGGCAGTATTCTTATTGGTTATTTTGCATTCACTCGTCTAATGAATTGTGATTTCTCATCTGTGCACATCTCATATTTGTGTGTTTATGTATCTCACCCTTCCTTTTTTCGGAATCTGAGAACTAACACAGACTGGTTGCAAAACCAGTTCGCACACAACCAGGGTTGGCTGACGGAATCAACATACAATTTATGCAATATCATGAGTCTTA